ACACTTGCTCTTCACTGAATAGGAGTTAAGATAAGAAATGGGGTGGGGTATGGGCAGAGTATACGAATAACACACCATTAATTATAAGACAAAAATAACAAAATTAATCATAACAGAAATAGAAGTAAAGGCTTCAGTTGTGGCAATCTTTTGACTTTCTAGGACAGTTCTTTAGGGTTAAAATATTTTGGGCTGCCTACAATATTTTGAACAGCTTCTTCAAATGTTGATAACTCTCCACAGTAGGAATCTAATCTCAAATTAGTATCCCCCTACTTTATGTTTCACAGCCTCTCTTGTTCCTCCACTTGTGATCTACATTCCACTGATCATAAGCATTTGTATGAACCTTTGAGGAAACAGGTAGGATGGGAAGCAGCCATATTGCTGGTGGAAGTGCCTGTAGAGGCAGTGTGGTTCTGAGATTGGTGGTGGCAACTTTCTTACAAGGTCAATTCTGTGTTATGATTTCAGAAGGATTTTTTCCCTTCAAAGCTTGGGAGCTTTTCTGCTTATTTATTGCTGTGTAACAAACAACTTCAAAACTTAGGGGCTTCAAAGAACAACTATGTTACTATTTCTCATAATTCTGTGGGTGGAAAATGTGTAAATGGCATTCTGTAAATACTTCATAATCCCTCTAGGTGGTGCCTGCAGGGTCTGAGCCATCCAAGATGGCTTCTTCACTTACACATCTTGTGCCTTGGTTAGAGTAACTCAAATAGCTGGAAACTGGCTGGAAGAGCTCAATATCGGTTATATGTCTGTGCTCTTGGTTTTCATAATTGGCCGGGTTCCTTCCCATGGCTTCCCTAGTCAGTCCTGTGCCTCTTCTCTACCACATAGTTTCTGTGACTGGTTTCTCCCCTGTGGTAACTGGACTTCTTATAGGTGGAGAGTTTCTTCAGAGTGCAAGAGCTAATGGTGCCAGGTCTTCCTAAAGCTTAGGACCAGAATCAGTGCAGTATCACTTCACTGATTTATTAGTTAAAACAAGTACCAGAGCCACTGCAGTTTTAGATAAGGCATCCACAAGGATTTGATAACCAAGAGGCACAGTTCATTACAGGCCATCAGGGGACTGTCTCTTATATGCAGCATAAAGCCTTTTCCTTCAGCCCTTCTGGTTACTCAGTAAACTCTTGCATTAAATATAATAAATACCTTTCTGCTTGAACTGCTTGAAATATTTAGCTTAAGACTTTACTGACTGCAGTTATCAATGCAAATATTTTCTCTATGATTAAATTAAAAAAAAAAACTAAGGTCCTAATAATTGTAGCAACATTATTTCTCTTCTTCTTACCCCTCCTTGATTATCAAATTCCCACATGTTCCCCTAAAACTTCCCACAGTCATTTCTTGGAGGCCCTGTATCTATTTCAAGTCAAAACTCTCCCTCCCCAAAAGATATTAAACACAGAAGTTTTAAGGTAAGGTTTATCAATCTTTCAAAGAAATGATTATTCTTTTAGTATTTATTTATTTTTTTATTTTTTTTTATTTACTTATGATAGTCACAGAGAGAGAGATTGAGGCAGAGACACAGGCAGAGGGAGAAGCAGGCTCCATGCACCGGGAGCCTGACGTGGGATTCGATCCCGGGTCTCCAGGATCGCGCCCTAGGCCAAAGGCAGGCGCCAAACCGCTGCGCCACCCAGGGATCCCTCTTTTAGTATTTAAATATGAATACAAAAGTTCCCTAATTTATCTTTACAACTCTAGTATAATGCCAATCCTAAAACATATAAAAAAATAGCATGAAAAAGAAAAGTATGGCCCAATCTCATTTATGAATACATTTAAACTCTTAAAAAATGGCAACTCAAATCCATAGTTATTACAAATATGATAAATGCAAACATAAATTTGAATGTGATGATCAAATAGTCTCAGAATTACAAAGATGACTCATTATTAGAAAATATTAATGTAACTTATCATACTAATAAGGTAAAGTAGAAAGATGATTATGTGGTAGGACATTAAAGTTGACATTTCAACTGAAATACTGAATGATGATTGGTCAGTTTCAAAGTGAGACATGAGATACATGTAAATGCAGAAAACAATTCACAGTTTCCAGAAGAAAGGGAGTGGGGGCTTGGGCAAAATGGGTGAAGGCAGTGGGAGATGCAGGCTTCTGGTTCTGGAATGAATAAAAGCAATGGTAGAAGGGCGCCTAAGTGGCTCAACTGGTTAAGCCTCAGACTCTTGATTTTGGTTCAGGTCAGGATCTCATAAGTTGTGGGAGGAGTCCCAGGTCAAGCTCTGTGCTGGGAGGGAAGTCCTCTTGCAGATTGTCTCCCTCTGCCTCTCCTCCCTATTCACAGGCACATTCTCTTTCTCTTTTTTTGTCTCAAATAAATAAATACATCTTTTTTAAAAATAAAAGGAACAGCATGAGGAAGATGGTCATTGATATTGTAATAGCATTGTATGGTGACAGATGGTAGCTACACTTGTGGTGAGCATAGCATGGTATAGAAACTTGTTGAATTGTTATGTCTTATTCCTGAAACTGATGTAATATTGTGTGTCAATTAAAAAAAATACAAGAAATTAAACAAAATAAATATAACTTTCACACGAGAGGGAAACTTTCTTGTTTATTACTTGATAAAATTAATTTTATTTATTTAAAAAATTTTTTAAGATTTTTAAATTTTATTTTTTTTAAGATTTTACTTGTTTATTTGAGAGAGAGAGAGAACAGACACAAGCAGGGAGAGCGGCAGAGGGAAAGGGAGAATTAGGCTTCCTGCTGCCTCGGGGCTCCATCCCAGGACCCAATAACCTGAACCAAAGGTAGACACTTAACGGACTGAGCCACAGAGGTGCCACAAAATATTTTTTTATTTTTAAGTTGTCTCTACACCAAACACAGGGCTTGAACTTACAACCCTGAGATCAAGAGTTGCATGCTCTACCTACTGAGTCAGACTGGCACCCGTTGAAAAAATTAATTTTACTAATTTATTTAATTTATTTTATATGTTTTTAAGGATTTTATTTTTAGGTAATCTCTACACCCAATGCAGGGCTTGAACCTACAATTCTGAGATCAAGAATTCCTTGTCCTACCAACTGAGCCAGTCAGGTGTCACTGATAAAATTAATTTTAAACATTTACCGAAATAATAAGCAACATTATTAAAAGTCCTTCCCACCAAGGTTGTTTTCTAATGCATATAATGACTGTGCTGTGGACCAATGGCCAATAAAAGATTAGTATATACAAGAGAAAAAACAAAACAAAAAAAAAGAGTGAGTCATGAGACAGAATAATGTGCATGTTTTAAAAGAATAGTAACACCTTGGACCCTATACCAACTCTAAGAACATTAAAAAGATTCAGATGTGTGGGGATTCAAGGACAATTTTGAAGGGATTTCTTTAGAGAATATTTATGATGTATTTTGTGTCCCAGATCACCAAACAACAGAGGTAGAAAGTTCCTCCCAACTCTCTAGTCAAGGGCTTTAAGAAGACCTCTTGGAGAACTTGATATACATCTACTGTTGTGGGGAAACATGGACAGTAGGGCAGACTGGAGTCTTGTTGCTATTTGACCAAGATGACTCATGCAAAGGGCAATATGTTTCCAAGAAAGAGACCATGTGGGGTACCATTGGAAAACCAGAAGTTGATGGAGAGCAGCAGACAGAAATTCTTTCGCCCATGTCATAGGAGTAGTAGGTAGGGGATGCCATCAAAGAGCCTCAGAAAAGTCCACAAAAGTCTTCAACATAGAAGAAGACAACTTTAAATATTTACTGGATGTTTGGACCCAGTAATTCCAATCCTATTTCCCATAGCTAGTTTGACAGAAATGTATGCATATATATATATCAAAGATATGTATGAGATGTTCATAGCAGAATTTTTCATATTAGTCCAAATTGAAAGCTTTTTAAATGTCTATCAACAGTGAAATGGATAAATAAATGTGATATATTTATACAATGGAGTGTTATCCAGCAATAAATTAAAGAATGGCTTGCTGAATCATTTAATAATATGGATAAATCTCACACATTGAGTGAAAGGAACCAGATATAAAATAGTACATTCCGGGGGACCTAGGTGGCTCAGCAGTTGAGTATCTATCTTCAGAAGCTCAGGGCGTGATCCCTGGGTCCTGGGATGGAGTCCCGTGTCAGGCTCCCCACAGGGAGCCTGCTTCTCCCCCTGCATTTGTCTCTGCCTTCTGCCTCTCTTTGTGCCTCTCATGAATAAATAAATAAATAAATAAATAAATAAATAAATAAATAAATAAAATAAAATAAAAAATTAGACACAAATTTCCTAGACCCAGAGAGTATGAGATCATCTAATAATAGTAGAAGTTAAGTATAAATCGTCTGCTCCCATTTCATCTCTTTCCTCCAAGTAGTAAATGAGAAAAGGAGAAATTCATTATGTTTTCCTCCATAAAAGCAAGCACCCCATCTTAAACCAGGCCCTACCTAAAGATATGTGGGTGGGAAATCTTAACCTTTACATGTAGATTAAAGTGTTAATATATATTGATTCATATATTGGACAAAACACTCTAATTACTGAACTGAAAATAGATTTGCCTCTTATGATGATGTCTGGACTCTCAATTCTCTAAGAGTGATCAGAAAAATCAAACTTGCGTTTGATTCAGGATGGTGGAATAAACCTTGCCTACTGAATACATTTGAAAGGGACCATGAGAGGGGATCCCTGGGTGGCTTAGTGGTTTAGTGCCTGCCTTCAGCCCAGGGCATGATCTTGGAGTCCTGGGATTGAGTCCCATATCAGGCTCCCTGCATGAAGACTCTCTCTGCCTGTGCCTTTGCCTCTCTCTGTGTCTCTCATGAATAAATAAATAAATAAATAAATAAATAAATAAATAAATAAATAAGTTTTTAAAAAATGAATAAATAAAAAAGAAAGGGACCACGAGAAACAACATATAGGTGCATTTTGATTATATCCCACTGGTTTGCTTGTTTAATATACTACTACAGATCGTTTTGTAGTTCATAAGTGTGATGATTGGATGTTCACGCTGTTGTGTGACATGTGCCTCCTGCAAACATTGTTGTGACATCAGCATGTTACTGTCCGACATGAAAAAAAAATACCACTTACAGTAAGGTGCTCACTACCAATGCAAAGATAGGCTTTTGGCTTAAAAAGAAATAGGAAATTAGTAAGAGAAAGGTAATTTCTTTTTTAAAAGTTTTATTTTTTTTATTTTTAAAAGATTTTATTTATTTATTCACAAGTGACAGAGAAAGAGAGACAGAGACATAGGCAGAGGGAGAAGCAGGCTCCATGGGGGGAGCCCAATGTGGGACTCAATCCCAGGACCCTAGGATCACACCCTGAGCCAAAGGCAGACACTCAACCACTGAGCCTCCCAGGTGTCCCAAGAAAGGTAATTTCTTAATGTAAAAATACTTTTAATACATAATCAGTCAAAATTATATTAAAAGGGAATAAATGTAAGAATTATTTCACATTAATGTCACAAAGATAAGTCACAAAAATAAGACAAATGTTGTTGCCCCTTTTTTTCAGAAATTTCCTGAGAATTCTATCCAATGTAATAAACTAGATAATACAAATGAGTTATAACTACCATGACTAAAGAGAAAAACTGGGGTGCCTGACTGGCTTAGTTGGCAGAGTATGTAACTCTTGATTTTGGGGTTGTAAATTCAAGCCCCACATTGGGCACAAAGCTGAGTCAAAAAATTGCCATTATATAGAGGTAATATAATTATTACCAAAATATTCCAAGAGAAAGAAGTAAATGGATGTTAGCATTAATTCTGAACTATAAGAGGAGTATATTAAAAGTTAATAGTTTTTCTCTACATATTATATTTACATATTCATATGATTATATTTATATATGATTTACATTATATATAAATATAATCATGAATATATTAATCATTTGAATATATAAATAGAATATATTTATAAAATAGGCAAAATTAACCTGCTTGATAGAGGTCAGGATAGTGGTTGAATTTAGATTAACAGTCTTGAGTGAGAGGTGGTACAGTTAGAGAATGTAATAGGAGGGGAATCCCATTTACAACAATGAAAAACCAAGCCAAACAAAAATTAAACCTTTAAAATCCAAGTAATAAACTTAATAGAATTTAAAAGATTCTTAGGGACAAGAGCTATAAAGGTTTATTGAAGTACATAAAAGAGAGTCTAGGATAAATGGAGAGATATGACATCTTCCTGGACAGGAAGACTCAATATCATAAAAATGTCAATTAACCCCTAAATAATCAAAACATTTCATGTAACTCTTTGATAAATGAATTCTAAAGTTCCCCTGAATGGTTTCCCATCTCATTTAGAGAAAAGGTCCTATACAACCTGTCTCCCTCCTATTACCTTTTATTCCTCATATCCTACCTCTCTGTTGTTTACTCTCTTCTTTTTTTTCTTTTTTAAGATTTTTTTTATTTGAGAGAAAGATAGAGAGAACATGAGTGGAGGGGGAGGGGTAAAGGGAGAGGGAAAAGCAAACTCCCTGCTGAGCAGTGAGCCCAATGCTGGGTTCCATCCCAAGACTCCCCCCCGCCCCCCGCCCCGAATCCCACGGAGATCATGACCTGAGCCCAAGAACTGACTGAGCCACCCAGGTACCCCTGTTTACTCTCTTCTCTAGCCATACTGACTTCCTTATTACTTCTTCAATATGCCAGGCAAGTTCCTGCTTTACACTCTTTGCAATTGCTATTCCTTCTTTCTGGAATGTTCTTTCCCTAAACAGCTGCATGCTTGCTCTCCTCTCATCACCTATAGGTCTTTGATCAAATGTCATCCATTCAAGGACGCCTTCCTTGATTACCTAATCTAAAATTGGAACAACCACATCTACCCACCACCCGTATGTACTTCCCTGGCTTTTTTTTTTTTTTCATAGCACCTATGTGTATCTGGCACGCAATATATTTTTTTACTTACTTGTTTATTGCCTGTGTCAAGTGTTGATCTCCTCTAACACACACAGATACATGCACACACACACCTGTTGATTAAAAAAACTAAACTTACTTTTGCTTAAGGGAAAACATCATGACAGAGTCTAAGGAGTGTCTCAAAATGAGGAAATGAGGGAAATGTAAAATGAGACATGGGGCTTGGGTTAGATAACTTTAAGGCAGATCTTGCAAGGGAAAAAGCAGAGTTTATGATATAATAGTTTTGAATTAGTGGGCTCAGTGAAATAAGAATCTTAAAGTGAGGTTTTTTTTAAATACTTTAAGAGAAGAGAGAGAGCACATGAGCACGGGGAAGGGGGTGTAGAGGTTGATGGGTGGGGCAGAGGGAGAGGGAGAAGCATACTCCCCACTGAGCAGAGAGCTCAAAAGGGCTTGATCCCTGGATCAAGAGATCATGACCTGAGCTGAAGGCAGACACTTAACCAACTGAGCCATCCAGGGCCCCCTTAAAGTGAGTCTTGATGGGCTAGCAGTTTTGATAAATAAACCTTTTAGTCAATTCACATTATATTTCCCCAACCAGCAGCTAATAATTTTTCTTTGTGATTATTTAACACAGAGACTTGAGAATTGCATTAGCTTAAATTCCCTGTTGAGCTTTTTATCAGTTGCAGGCAATTGGGAAGATCACTTACCACTTGGGGACATCATTAATCTGGATCTACCCTATGTTGGATATTGTGGTTGACTGTGTTTTCTGATGGTAGTTATTTCAACCTTTACGAGTGTCAACTTTTCTTGTTCTTGGTAGAAGATCATTAGGATGCATAATGATTGCACAGCAGCAGGTAAGAGTCTAGAGTTCTACATTTGTACATTGCAACACAAACAAATGGTAATCTAATTTGGGTAAACATGTCCAAACTAAATTAAGAAAATAGATTCCATTTCAACTATGAAGAGCCCACAGAACCAGATATTTGAGTGTTAGACAAGTTATTTCATTTAATGGTATCTTTATTTGTTTTTCAGATCTTTTTAGTGATATAAAGGACCCAGAGAAATCTGCAAATATATAAGTACAATATTATTTCCCTTATGCAGCATGTAGTCTCCTTTAAGAAAAGAATATTATGTCCAATGACTCTATGTTTTGAGTTATCATTTACCTAATCTCATGGAATTTTTAGGGGAGAAGTTCCATGGCCTTAGACACATTATTTAGTTTTACTACTTTCTGAACCATGGCATGTAGGATTATTCATAATTTTTTAGATGTTTTGGAAAGCATAAAATGAAAAGTTTTAGATATAGAAGGCAGTTCCCAAAAAACTCCCTTCAGTTTTTAGTTTTTGAACTCAAATCAGAGAGCAGTTTCCCTCCTTGTTGAATTAAATGATTTAAGTAATATTTTTGTTCTGGGCAAGGTAATATGTGGACTAAAATAAATCCTAGGTGATACCTGGGCCTATCCTGAAAGCAGGCATCAATTAACCAAGGTAACACTTCTCTACAATCTGCTGATGGCAGTCAGTTTTTGTACTGCAGATTTAATACCAATTGCAAGGGGCCAAGCAATGATTAAGATTTTATTTATTTATTCATGAGAGACACACATTGAGAGACAGAGACATAGACAGGAGAAGCAGGCTCCTTGCCGGGAGCCTGATGTGGGGCTCAATCCCTGGACCAGGATCACGCCCTGAACCAAAGACAGACACTCAACCGCTGAGCCACCCAGGCGTCCCAAGAGATGTTATTTGTAATAGAGAGATTACTGGGTAGCTCTGAAGTAAATGAGCTTGTGGTACAGTCCACCACTGTGCTTTTAATGTAAGATCTATAAAAGCAGAACAGTCTTTGAATGTACTTCCATCTCTTTTGGGATCCTCTTCAAGCTATACTTCTATTGGTTGCAAAGGCTAGCTCCTACAGAAGTTTCCTACAGTGAGTTTGTTAAAATGCAGTTTGAGGGGCACATGGGTGGCTCAGTCAGTTTAGCATCTGCCCTTGGCTCAGATTATGATCCCAGAATCCTGGGATAGAGTCCCACATCATCAGGCTCCCCTGCTCAGTGGGGAATCTGCTTCTTCCTCTCCCTCTGCCTGCCACTACCTCTGTTTATGCTTGTGCACGCTCTCTCTCTCTCTGTATCAGATAAATAAAATCTTTTTTGAAAAATGCAAATTTTGAGAACACAAGTTCTTCACAGGCTGCCTTCACTTCAGATACCAGCCACAGGATTGGCAGTCTCCAGGGTTGACTCTCATTTCTGACCAGTTGACCACAAATTGAGGAAGTCCCACAACCAACTCCAAGTTTGATAATCTACTAATTATCTGTGAGAGATTCACAGAACTCATGAATAGTGCTCATTAATATTTGTGATTGCAGTTATAGCAAAAGGCTATAAACTAGAACCACCCAAAAGAAGAGGTGCATAGGGTGAAATCTAGGAGGGTTTCAAATATGAAGCTTCCATCATTCTCAGGGATATGTTACTCTTCCAGCATTAAAGTGTGAAAATACTCAGAATATTGCTAACCAGGAACTTCATCTGAGCTTCAATGTCCAGAGTTTCTATTGAAGTTTTATTAGATAGGCATGGCTGATTGAATCATTGCCTGTGTGGTTGTGGTTGAGCTCAATCTCCAGGCTTCCTTTCTTTCCCAGAGGACAAGATGATATCACGTGACTCAAACCCCCAATCCTATAATCACATGGTTGGTCTTTCTGGCATGGCCATCCTCCATCTGAGTCACCTCACTAGCATAAACTATCAGGTGTAGTCTGAGGGGTCCACCCTGAATAAGAAAGATATTCAGGAAATTAAAAAGGTTTAGAGATTATCTCCTAGGAACCAAGGCCAAAGGTTAGCCAAATTATGTATTACAGAGTTCCCAAGTATTGTTTCTTTGGAGGGAATGTGATAAGGGATTTCTGGCTGTTTGACCTGTTGTGCTACCCCCAAAAAAGTCACTTAGTGATGAATTCAATTACCCGGAAATTAACTGAATTATTTCAAGGAATTAATATAAAAGGAAAATGAGTGGCAACTAATATAAAAGGAAAATGAGTGGCACCCAAAGGAAAGCAAATATAAATTCAGGAATTGGTTTGATTTTGTGTTTTAGCCAAATCACAAGGAAAATA